AGTCCACTGGTGCCTGGATGAGAACACCTTTTGGGAAAGCAAGGCTATGTGAAATTCAATGAAAACGTCATATCTACTCATATCACCATGGGGAAATTGAACTAGCAGTCCCCTTATCGCCCTACAGGAAATAGGATGAATATGTCTCAGCACAAATATAGTCTGAGCAGAAGCAAAGTAGTGGATGGTTGGACAATCCCCGTGAATTCGGTGTCTTGATGCAGCAGAACCACAATTTTTCTGCATCAGACCGTTGCGATGAGGCCCAGTTGATGGCGATTGAATGGCATCCCGGTCGGGACGCCTTCTCAACTGAAATGATCTTGTCACCACGGGCCATTCAGTCATGTTGTCAATGGCCACCGTCTGTGATACCAGCCTGCTCAGGTGAGATAATGGTCTCTTGACGGTCAGAACGGCATGCTCGAACTTGACTCAAGTTGGACTTTTGTGTGAACATGATGAAAGAGTAACTGATTTTCGATGAATTGCTTGAGACAAAGTTGTTTGTTGCAATGGTCAGTTGGCGCAAACTAGCTGAAGAAGTAAATTTTCGCAGTTCGAGCTGACCAAAAAACGACAGCGGATTCCTGTTGCTCTATCGTCGTTTGATTTGGCAATTCGGTCTATCGCCTCATGGAATGAGTAAACCTCAACTTTATAGTCAAATAGTGAGATCGACTTATGCGTTTCTTCATCAGGCATTTTCACAGTAAATTAAAGTCCTCATAACTAAATTTATACCAAATTTCAGTATGTTCATGGCCTCGACTGTTATTTCAACCGGGTACGACCTCCAATAGTTGCCATGTCGGGGCATTCGAAGGATGCATTTTTGTCTTCACAATTCACACAATCTTCAGCTCTCCCTCGTCGTCTTACCAATCCACCACTTCTATGCATTTCACTACAAACCCAAATTGTTGAGCTCTTCTTTTTCCTGTCACATCTTCTGCACATCTACATGAACAAAGAAGCAAGACTGGAAGGCCATCTATTTAGTAGCATAGATTCAGCAACGTATTTTACTCTTGCTCTCCTCACCATACTCAAGTGAATCAAAGAGAGGCAGAAGAGACCATTCTCTCTTCGAGCCATTCATTTGCGCATTTGTTCAACCGTACCTGGCAACACTACTCTCTAAATCAATACTGTTATTCAGAGTCTTCAGATTTGACAAACTAACTAGAGACCATTGTGAAAATCATTTAGGCTCAAAGCGTCAGGGTCAAGTCCTCAACCTGCTAATAGGCTGACTCATTTCTCGGACGGCGAAACGTCTGACCGCAACTATGTTGTTAGCATTATGGTTGGGATTACTTCCATTTCGAGTAGAAGTGATGGGCGAAGAGATTCGAAGGTT